CGGTCACCGAGACGAGGAGGAGGCCTGGCGAGAGCGGCCCGGCACGCGGGGGCGGGGCCAGCACCGAGCATCTCCGCCCCCAGACGTGGCTGGGGGGCGGCGCGGCTTCCTGCAGGGCCTCAGGGGCTGCCTCTAGGGTGCGGGGTTTGTCCACCCCCGGGCTGCAAGAAGGGTGGGCTTCCCGGCCCCATCTACCAGGAGGGGCAGGATAAAGACAGCGAGGCGGAGACTAGCGAGGCCTCATCTGCACAACCCGGACATCAATAAAGGAAAAGGGCGCTGAGCGCTAGTGCGGTAAAGTGAGGCTGTCCTCCTGGGACGCCCTGCCTCCCGAGGACACTGCCCGCCTCTTCACCGGTGAGGGACTGAGGCTGTGGAGGGGCAAGGCGGGTCTGCTACCCGAGGCCCTGCTCTGTCCAGGGCCAGACCCAGCCAGGCGCCCCACGGCCCGGATATGGGGTCTCCTGGAGGCCTGGAGGGGCGGGGCCCTATCACAAAGGGTCTTAGTGCAGGAGGAGAAGCTGGTTTCGCTCAAGGCACGAGCATTCAGAAGAGAGTGGCAGCAGCCCCCGGCTGTGTGATCCCAGGCAACCCACTCCTCAGCCCTGAGCCTCGCCTGCCTGCCTCCGCTGGGCAGTGGGCAGCACTCTGAGCTGCTGGGGGAAGACGCTGCACCTGGGTGCCCATCATCGCGTGGGCAGGCGTCCTGTCCGTGCGCTTATTTTAACGGCGCTTGAAGCAAAATCTGGGCTCGAGCGCGGTGCTGTGGGCGGCTCAGGACTGAGGGTGTGGACTGAGGCTGAGATACTCCAGGCTCCAGGAGATGAGCTCATGGGGACCCAGCCCAGGGACAGCACGCAGGGGCCTCCACTTTGCAGAGCATTTGTTTTTTAAAGGTCCAGAGAGGTTATGCAACAGGCCCAAGGTCACCCAGCGGGCAGGACGGCAGTCTGGAGGTGTGGGGGTGCAGTGCGTCTCCCCACAGGGCTGGCCCTGGCAGCAGGGCTAGGCTGGCAAGAATGTGAGGGTCCCATCCCAGGGCAGGCACTGGGCCCAGTGTCCAGAACATTCCTGGGCTAACTGAAAGAAAACAGCTGACAGTGACCTTGGCCAGGCAGCGGGAGAGTCACGTGGCCCCTTCCCACTGTGGGCTGGTGAGGGCAGGCCTCGTCTCACCTCTCTGGTCCCCCGGACTCCCAGGACCGCGTCCACCCCCTGCCCGGCTGCATCCCCAGCCTCCCCCTTCCCCGGACCAGCTCTTTCAGTCAGGGCCCCCCGGCCCCGGAGCTCAGCCTCCTCCTCCCTCCTCCGCCTGCACGCTCAGCCACCTCTCCCGGGAAGCCCGCCTGGACCTCTGGCCCCTCAGCCGTCCTCGGAGGCTTCCCAGGGCCCCACCACACCTGGGAGAACAACTCGCCACCCGCGGAAAACTCTAGAAGCATCACCTCAGGGCAGAGGGGGCCAGGGCAGGCCTGGGATGGGGAGGAGCCGCCCCCTGCCCTGGCCCTCACAGCAGGGAGCGGGCAGACCGCGGAGGCCAGCCTCCCCAGACTTCCTGGCCTGGCGGTTCCTCAGAGGCCACCTCCTCGCGGAGCCTCTCCTGACCACCTAAGTCTTGCCCCCTGCACCTGCAAGCCCCCAGCCCACCCCAGACCACAGGATCCAGACCCCAGACCAGAACCGTGGAACTCCATGATGTCGCTGTTTTCCTGTCTCCCCACGGGACACAGCAGGCACTTAATGTCTGCTGGACCAGCGAGCCATCTCACAGGAAGCCCCCAACCCAAGGTGCCCTGGCCTCAGCCCCTCCCCTGCCACGCACCTGCCACCCCCAGGGCCACCTGCCCTGTCACCCCATCTTCCTGCCGAGGCTCTGTCCAGCTCACACTGAGCCAAGGCAGGGTCCTGACCCAGCCCAGCACCCAGGAGTGACAGCGAGGGACGAGACAAAGCACAGGCCTCTGCAGATGGACAAACGGGCGCAAGCTGTGGCCCATCCCCTGGAGCGCCCTCCCCGTGAGCAGGCGCGAGTGGCACTGCTGCTGTGTGGACGGGCCTGGTGCTCAGCGAGACCAGACACACGGGTCCAGGACAGGGCCATCTTGGGGGTGACAGCGCTGTGGAACTGGGGACAGTCACGTTCTGGGGATCGACGAGCAGCTGGGCCCTCCTGCCGGGGGCGGAGCCAGAGCTCTGGACTTGCAGAGAGTCCCTGCACTCAGTGAGGTCCTCGGGGGACCCAGGGCTGCCCACAGAGCCCCCGAGTCGCAGGGACACCTCAGACTCACAGCGAGGGGACCACTGCCCTGTTCCCTGGTGCTGGAGAAGCCAGGCCGTGGCTCCCAGGGGGCTCTTCCTGACCCCGGGGGCCTTCCACCAAGGGTGGGCGGGTGCTCAGAGGCTCAGATTTGGGAATTTCAGGTCAGGGCTGCTCAACCTGAACGAAGAATGCGAGCAGGACCCTGGACACGGGTCAGGAGGCCTGGACTGGAGCCTCGGCCAGGCTGCGCAGCTCAGCGTGGCTGACCCATCCAAGCCTACCTTCCCCCTGGCCAGGCCGGGCTGGGCTGTGGTCCTGCTGGGGCTCTGGGTCAGAGTCACGCCCACTAAGGAAGGGCACTCCTCGTCCTGTGACAGGGGTCACCAGACTCTGCCCAGGCTGCCGCCGCTCCCCCAGGAGGCTGCAGGTCTGGCCCTCCCACCCGCACTCCTGTGGCCCTGCGGTGGCCCGCCTGGCTGCCCTCGCTCTGGCCCTCACCAGCCTGGCTTACTGGGCTCCCCAGCCCAGCTCAGGCCGTCTCTGGGACCAGTGACCAGCTCTGGCGGCCTCTGAATTCCTGCTGGAAACCTCTGGCAGGAGACAGCCGCCATCCAAGACAGCAGGACCCTGCAAGGACCCTCCTGAGCAGGCTGCCCATCCCTGTGGGAGCTCTGACCAGCACGAAGCTCTGGAGTCCAACCCAGGAGCAGCAGCCACACCTGCCATCCCAGTGACTCAGGAGGCTGAGGCAGGAGGATCTCCAGCCAGGGACACCCCATCTCAAATAAGATAAAAAGGGGCCAGCGCTACGGCACCCGCCCAGCGTGCCCGGCCAGGGATCCAGCCCCAGCACTGCAGGAGGGGAGTGGAGAGGAGAGGCGGGGAGGAAGGGGGGAAGTCCTTCAGTCAGGCCTCCCACCTGCCTCTGGTGGAGATGGCTCCCAGCTGGCCCCTTCCTGGACCTGGCTCCTCCGCTGCTCAGCCACTGCCCACAGCTCCCCAGGTACAGTCCAGGCCGGCCAGGATTCAGACCACAGACCAGAGAATGTTCCCACCTCTAGATGCTTCCCACCTCCGGGCCTTTGCACAGGCCTGCACCAGGTGCACCCTTCTGTCTGCACATACTTCATAGAGAAGGCCTCTGGTGGACAGGGCAGGAGACCTTTCCCACACGACTTCTTTCTTGGTATCGGGATTGAACTCAGGGGCGAGCTGCACGGAGCCACATCCCCAACTTGTTTTTGTTGAACCTCACTGAGCTGCCCAGGCTGGCCTGGAAGGTGAGAGCCTCCTGCCTCAGCCTCCCGCTTCAGCCTCCCAAGGTGCTGGGTTTGCAGGCGTGGCCACTGCACCCCGTTTCCCCCACCTCTGACCAGGCTGGGGGTGGGAAGGTCAGCAGGGAGGGCTGTTACAGGGCAGAGGATTGTCTGGGTGAAGACAGGGCAGAAGAAAAAGTCACGTTTTTAAGAGCATCAGTCCACTTTCCAGCTTGGAGGTCCAGGTCCCGGGGCAGGACTGGCACAGGCTGAGGCAGACATGCTGGCCCTGGGTGGTATGAAGGCACGGCCTCACCCCACCTGACAGCACTTGTTTTCCTCAGAAGAAAACCGGCCACAGAGAGCAACGTGCCCAAAGATCCCCAGGGAGCCACAGAAGTGATGGGGAGGGGGCTGCATCCGCCCCGGGGCCCAGGCCCTGCCAAGGCTCCCTTCCGCCTGGCTCAGAAAACCAAAAGAAGATGCCACCCGATCTGATACCCTGGACCCTCCCACCCAGGAAAGCACCGAAGAAAAGCTCCCTGGCTGGGTGGTCCCCTGAGCTTCTTGACCTCTCTGGGCCTGTTTCCGCACCGGCCCAACTGCGCAGGAACCAACGGGTTCACCCCATGAGGCACTCAGAGCTGGGCCAGGCAGGCAGTGAGTGTCCACCGAGTACACAAGCCGGCCACTCTGCCCATCCTGCAGCCCCTGGGCTCCCAGTTGAAACTAAATGCCCTCCCTCTGGGGTAGAATGCTACACGGTCACCAAGAAAACCAGAAGTTGCTGCCACAACACGAGAGCCGAGAAGCCCTGCGCAGCGCGCGGCTAACGGTTGTCACATTCAGTCCTCACTGGATTCCTGCCTTAACCCACCGGGGGGAGACCTGCGATTTCCAGCTGCAAGGAACCAGCCAGCGCCCCAGCAGACCCCGCCGAGGTCCCCGCCGAGGGCAGCCCGGGTCTCCCAGGGCAGAGGTCCCCAGCCCGGCACCTGCTCACTGCACCCTGCAGCTCAGGGGATACTGGCTGTTCCTGTCAGATCCTCACGTTGTTAGTGACAATTCACGTAAGCCTTAAACTCAGCACTTCAAGGTCCTTCAGACCTTCAGCGTGATTTCTGAACTCTCCATCACCCTGGCTGGCGGCCGGCCGCTGCACCCAGCCCCGCTCCAGGGTGGTGGGCCGGGAAACGGTGGTGATGGCGAGGTCAGCTGTCCCGTTCTGGCTGCCCTGCCCCCCTCCAGGCCCACAGCCCATCTCCCCCCACCCCCGGGGAGAAGGACCAGGAGTGAGGGCCAGGTGTCCAGGACAGGGCTGCACCCATGAAGCCCCTCCCTACCCTCGGTCACCAGGGAGCTGGAGAGAGCTTTTTCCACGGCTGTCCACAGCTGCAGACACCCAGCCCTCCTTCCACCCAGACATAGCAACTGATGGCCCAGTGAGGGCCCCTGGTACAGCTGACCTAGGCCCCAGAAGCTGCGGGGCTAGTGTGGGAGGTACTGTGTGACCTGGGGCAGCTGCTATCCCTCTCTGAGCCTCAGGATCTTCAGTGGGGAAGGAAAAGGGCGGTGGGAAAGGGAACAATAGGGTCCAACCCTCAGCCTGCTCCTCTGGGTGGGTGTTCTCCTGCCCCTAGGCAGCCCCCTCCCATGGCCACACCCTGCCCAGGCCCTGCTGTCAGGAGGCCTGAGAAACTCCCCTGGGCCAAGAGAGCAAGAGCAAAGCAGATAAACAGGCCTCGAGGGACGGAGGGACGGGAAGCAGGCAAGCCCAGGCCCTGGCCCCCGAGCCCCTGGCTGGGCTCCCCGGGCGGTGGGGGGAGCAGGCCAGGCCTTTGTCTGGTGTTTCAAAAGCAGAGGACACAGGGTGTCTCTCCTTTCCCAGGCCGGGAGCATGGCGGTGGCTCCCACCCAGGCCAGGGTGTGGCGGGTCACGGGTAGATCCCGGGAGGAAAGTTACCACTTAGAAAACAGCCAGAGGGAAGGCCGGGGGAGTGACCTCTGGCCCGGACAGGCTGGCTGGACTTCCATGACAGCCGATGGGTGGGAATGGGGACCAGGGGGGGCACTGCTGACCCTTTCACAAGGTGGCACATCTGGACCACAGAAGGTGCGTCCCCCTCCACTGCCCATGCAAACCCCTCCAGCGACCTCCGGGGGCCACCTGTGTGAGTGAGGGGCCTGGCCGCACTCTCACTGGGAAGAGGGGACTGAGCCCAGATGACCACGCACACTCACTGGGCACCTGTGTCCAGAACACTCTGCTGCCAGCCGCTCCCGAGCCCCACGGCCTCCAGGCTCCAGGACTCCGGCTGTGGCCCCCTCCAGGCCCTCTCGGCCACACCACGGGGTCCCCTTCTTGGGGAAAGGGGCTCAGACTTCCAGAGGGGCGGGAACCAAACCCAAGCTTCCCTCTGGGAACCGCCTCAGCCGCCGGGGGAAGACCAGCGAGGCCCCTCCCGCCCGCCCCACTCACGGCCAGCCCGGCGCCGG